TCCCAAATCGGCCTCCCAAAATGCTGGGATTACAGGCGTGAGCCACTGTACCTGGCCCCTTAAATGATTTGTTTTGTTGTTTTATTTACCTCACTGTTGTTAACTCTACAGAAGTACAGGCATGTGGACAACATCATGTTTGAGAATCACACTGTAGCTGACCGCTTCCTTGACTTCTGGAGAAAGACAGGAAACCAGCATTTTGGGTACTTATATGGTCGGTACACGGAGCACAAAGACATCCCCCTTGGCATCAGAGCAGAAGTGGCTGCGATTTATGAACCGCCTCAGGTAACCGTGGCAGGGTTCACAGTTGATGGACGTCTGTCTGTCTGTCCGATGCCCTTTTCAGATTGCGTCTTGCCTTGTGTGTGCTGTCACTGTGCACTGTCTGCCTGCCTGTCTCTTCCTACACACACACACAGAATATTTCTTTGTGAAATTACTGGAGAGTAGGATCATGGCCTCTAGATACTTCAGTGTGTATTTCCTGAGAATAAGGATATTCTCTTACGTAACTAGCACATTTATCAGCCTAAGTAATTTGAACCAATACTGATGCAGTATTTTTATCTCATCTGCCATCCCTGTCCTAGGTGTGCCACTTCCCTCAGTAATGTCCGACGTTGCCTCCTTTAGGTCTTCCCTGTTGTGCTGTGCCTCTTCTACCCATGCGACAGTCTCTGTCCTAGGCAGCTTCGCGTTAGCGCTGCAGCCTTACCCTTGTCCTCATCACGTGCCACACACACTGCAGCCTCAGAGTAACCACAGTGCCCCTGCCACTAAAGCAGGACCGAAAACAGTTTGAAATTTTTTTTTGGTGGGGTGGGGAGAAGGGTCCTTTGGGTTTGTCCCACTGGGGGCCTATGTATAATCACCACTGCAAGGTCCTCTCTGTGATTATGCCACCAACCAGTAGCACGTCTTATTCTTGGTTTTTAGGAATTGGGAGTATTTAGGAATTGTGTCTGTATAAAGATATACACACACAATTGCTTTGTAATTATATGAAATATTTATATGGCGTATTTCATTATATAAATTTTACTGCGAAGGCAAAAACTCTAACAACTGTTGAGTTCTAATAGTTAATGATACACATGGTGAACTATTTGGGGGAGCTATACTTATGTCCGCACTTTGAAATCTAACAGAAAAATAAGATGGGGTGATGGGTGACTAGAGGGACAGACAGAGCATAGTAAATGTTCAGGCTGAATCGAGATGGTGCTCACTGTGAAATTCTTCATCCTTTGCTACATGTTAGACATTTTTTATTAAAAAAGTTGGAGAAGAAAAAAAATTTGCATAGTTCAAGAGTCAGATTGGCAAACCAGGTGTATTCGTCCCCCATCACCCTGTCCTCTGCTCTCCTCTGCAGCAGCCCCACGTTTTAGAACTTCTTGGTTTGGTGTATGAAGTTTCATTTTAATGTACACAGGGCCGCACGCACACGCACGGATTCATACTCTCCCTTCTTCATTTTGTTGTGTGTGCCCCATGCTACTTGTACTTTCTTCCACCTTGCATTGTGTTCTGGAGGTCACTCTGTGGCTGGCCCACTGTGTACTTAGCCTCCCTTGGGGGGTGGGGGCGTCTTCTGCCCAGCGCGGTCTGGGCTGCAGGCCATGGGCAGTTGCCACTGGCTCAGCAGGTTTGTTTGTGGTTCCTGCACAAATGCATGTGTCTCTCCCGGCTGGCTGCATTTATACAGATTTTAAGTGTAGTTTACATCCCTTTGACATTTTGGTATTTGTGCAGCACCGTAGATAGTGTTTCAGAAGGCCTTTTGCGACGTTTCATTTAAAGAGACAATAGATGGCAGTAGAGGCTCTGCTGGAGGGGTCTGGATTCTCTGACCTTTAGGGCACTAGGTGCTCTGGGATCAGGATGCTCGTCTGGAAACACACGGTGTTTAACTTCAGTTTTGTAGAGGGTCTCTTTCATGGAGAGTTTAACAGTTCTAAGTATAATTTTTAAAAAATTGGCACAGAAACCTCTTGTGTCGATGCTACTAACAGCGTCGTCGGGGCTCCTGATTTGAGGATCCTGGAGGTGGGAACAGTTGGCCTCTAATCACCTCCGGCTCATTAGAAGTTGAGCTAACGCTGCCACATGTCATTAAACAAGTCCATTTCCTTAGATTTGTCCTGAGTTTGTGACTTGACTTGTCTCCAGGAGGTACAGTGATCTCCGTCTGGGTAATACCCAGCAAATAGAAAGCTCTGTGTTGTTTGCCAAATTTTTACTAATTTACGAGGATGTACCTACCCAATTAATATAACTCAGTTTGGGGTTACCTTCACTTTTCCTGTGCTTACAGCCAGGGTTTCTGTTTGGAATGATACTTACTATCAGCGACCCACAAGTTGCATGTAAGTGAAGATTGAAGATATCAGCAAAGATTGTCCCCTCCAGGAAGTGGTGTCCTGTGGTTGGTGCAGGTTCCATGTGAGCCAGTCATTGCCAGAGCCTGTCGGTTGCCTGAGCTGAGTGCCCTGCCTCCTGGCAAGCTCGTCCCTGAGTGTAGATGCCTTTTCATCTACTTAGGGTGTGTGTTCATTGCTCTCTCTGTGGAGTTCACACTCTCTCTCTGACTCAGTATCTTGGCTAAGGAGGAGCAGCATGGGAATCTTGCAAGGCTGTTTCCTGGGAACAAATAGTACCTTACAGCTTCAATCTAGCCAGACCTGTTTGGAGTGAAACTACTTACCCAAGGAAGTTTGAAAATAACTTCATTCCCCAGGGAAGGAACCTGTAACACAAAGAAGCAGAGCAAGCGCAGAAAGCCCTCGTTAGTCCCCAACACAGTTGATGTAGAACTTTGTGACACAGCAGCCTGGATACTGTGCCTTCAGCTTCTCTTGGATTTGCATCTAAAAGTGTGTTGCAACCTGAGAAGGAGAACAGCCTGGAGGGGTGTGGTTGTGTTTGATCGGTGGCTGTAATTCTCCTTTCTGACAAAGAGGAGACCAGCCCGCACCTGTGGCCCTGGAGGTAGAAATGGGAGGGTTGGAGGTGCTGTGCTCTGAGCCTTCCTCTCTAAGTCTACTTTCCCCTTTGATTCCTGACAGATTGGCACACAGAACAGCCTGGAGCTTCTTGAAGATCCCAAAGCTGAAGTGGTCGATGAAATTGCTGCCAAACTTGGCCTGAGGAAGGTACTGAGGCATAAGCCAAGCAGCCTTGGGGGGCCCTGGCTCTGGTGGGCATCTGGGTGGGTGGAGTAGCCAGGCCTCGTCTGGGACAACTTCCTAACCTGCACAAGGTCAGGTGCAGGCTCCACACATTTTGAAACTCTGCTCGTGTTTATTGGGTGCCGGTAGCTTTTATGTTCCTCTGACTTAAAATGAGAACATTTCCCTGAGCATAAAAAAAATGATCCCAGTGCAGGAGCTGTTACATCTAAGCCTGCCAGCCACTCTTGAGCACTGCATCAGCGGTGGGGGGGCGGGGGGCGAGGAGACCAGCCGCGGCAGGAGTAAGACAGGAGGGGCTGTGGTACCGGCTGCGCCCTACCTGACCCCTGCGCTCTTGCTTCACGCAGCCTGGAGGCCGAGGATGGCCAAGGATGGCCTGTTCACAGTGTCCGTTTTCTGTGCCGGGCACTCGGAGCTTCTGGTGTTCCCTCGTCAATCATCCAGTTTCCTTTTATAACTTAGGTGTCTGAGCCGGGGAGCTTTCCTCCTTTCATGGGACAGTTAGAAGATAGGAGGAGAATTTTCTTTTTGATTCTGTTGATCCGTTTTATCTCACATCTTGATAAAGTTCCCAGGAATGTTAAAGATAGGTTTTTAGGCCAGGAGCAGTGGCTCGTGCCTGTAATCCCAGCACTTTGGGAGGCTGAAGCAGGGGAGGATCATCTGAGGCCAGGAGTTTGAGACTAGCCTGGGCAACATAGCAAGACCCCATGTCTAAAAAAAAGTAATAAAAAAATTAGCTGGGCATGGTGGTACATGCCTGTAGTTCCAGCTACTTGGGAGGTGAGGCAGGAGGATCACTTGAGCTCGGGAGGTCGAGACAGCAGTGAGCCTCGTTAGCACCAGTGCACTCCAGCCGTGGTGACAGCAAGACACTGTCTCCCCACCCCACCACCACAAAAAAAGGATGGGTTTTAACAAATATGTAATGACCATAATTATAATAGGTCTTGAAGGTCCTTACAGCCTTGCTCCAAATACCAGTGCCTCAGCCCTTACTTAGCTTAGCTTTGGTTCTGCGTTGTTTGCTGCTTAATGGCATTTGTCATTTAAGTCTCATTTTCTCCGTTGCCATCCTCCTTGGGTTTTTCATTCATCTGGGCATTTCTAAAGACATCAAGTCTCCCAGTGTGCCCGGTCATGCTGGCACCAGGTGGCTGTGGAGCGTTGTGTGTCAGGGTGTGCTAGAGGGTGACAGCCGCCAGTCACCAGTAGGACAGGAGTGAAGACTGCCTGGACCCCAGCTCCACTTGCGCAGCCTGCCGCTGGCTTCTGATGCAAGAGGGTAGCTGTCTGTGGAGTTCAGGGGCAGAGGCGGGTCCAGGGACCACAGAGCACACAGGTGCTGTCACAGCGGAACATGCAGGGGAGGCCAGGCACTGATCTGAGCTCCAGGACTGGGCTGACGGGTTCAGATCCTGGCAACCTCAGACGCTTCTTTCCAGCCCTGCATGAGAGGTCTAAGGAGCAGCTGAGTGAAGTCGCCATTGTGTTACCTCCTTTTACTTTAAGTGCCTCTTTGTGGGGAGTCCTTTTTCTTATCTTTGGGGGAACACCCAGCATCGGTTGCTATCTGTCTTCCTCATGGAGTGTACGTTCCCTTCTCACCGGTGTTCCCTTGGTCTCATTCACCACTGTGTTTTCTGCACCCAGCATGGTGCTGGGCACAGGGACGGTGCTGAGAAAAGCTTGTGTCCAGTCCAGCAGCACTAGAGGGAGGGTGGCCGGTTTCTACTGAGCAGAGTTTGGAAGCCCCGGTGTGGCATCTTACGAGAAGCCGATTCACGTAGGCTGGTCTGGCTCGCAAGAAGAAGTCTCTGACAATGTTCTTAAGCTTTACAGGTAGAAGCCAGAAATCATTCATCTGTTTTAGGGAGATGTTCAAAAGATACTTTCCTTTTCTATTAAGGTTGGCTGGATATTTACAGACCTCGTCTCAGAAGATACCCGAAAGGGTACAGTCCGATACAGTCGAAATAAGGTGAGGCAAAGAGAGGAGTATTGGCTCAGCCCTGTGGCTTGGTTACAGACAGTGTGGACTCACTTGCTGAGGGTCTCTCTGCACAGCATGTTCTGGTTTTCAGACCGTATTATTTTTCAAGACAGTCTTATCAATGAATTAAGGCTGGATTTGTTTATTCTGTCTCATGGGAAAAGCCCACCTTACCTTTACAAAGCAGTGATTTTCAGAGGTTGGCCTGTGGGGGGTGGTTTGCATCATGCTTCTGGCCTTCCTGGTTGTGGGTGGTTTTAGGTGGAGTTTGTAATGGCAGGGATTCCAGGTCTTTGCTTCACCCTGGCTTGCTGTGGCTTTTAAGACATTATAGTTTAGTCTTATTTTCTAAAGAAGACTTAGAAGCATCTTTTGACATGATGCTGTAAAATCTGCTACGCTGCTTCTCTCATTGTAGGACACGTACTTCCTGAGTTCAGAAGAGTGCATCACTGCGGGGGACTTCCAGAACAAGCACCCCAACATTTGCCGGCTCTCTCCGGATGGGCATTTTGGATCCAAGTTCGTTACTGCAGTGGCTACAGGTATAAACAGGGACAGTTACTGCTTTGTTAATATTTTCGGTTCCTTTCTTTGGTAGCTTTTTATCCTTAACTTAGTTATAGTGCATTTTCTGAATGGGCTTATGGGAGATGGATTCCTCCTTTTGTCTTGTGGTAAGAATTCTGAACTAACCGGTGTCAACCACAGAACCAACACCAGAATCAGGACCTCAGCTTAGCCTTCCTTAGGTTCAGTGCTC